TTCACACCCTTTGCTTGGAGACTTTCAGATATCTACAATCCTTCCTCAATAAGGAACTTCTTAACTGTTAATACTATGGTATCACCACTATTAAGCATCAGGCGTGTTTGTTTCATACAACTAGTTTGAAAGGAAAGGTAATATAGAACAAATGGATTTTTTAATAAACTTGTTTGTATACCTGCCTTTTTTGATTTTATCATACAATAAATATACTATAAAGAATCTCATTTTTCTTTATACATTTCACAAATCTTTAAATTTCTATTCATTCTATATGACCTTGAATGTATCTATTTCAAAAAAAAAAAAAAAAAATAAACAGACTATGCAATAGATCTTTTTTTAAGCGAGAAACAAGTTTTGGTTTCATTTTTTGATCTTAAATATCCTTTCATGTCCTTCTCCCCTTTTTCCTTTTTTTTTTTCAAAGTGTTTTGATTGGTTTATTATTTTATTGTCTAAAATCTTAGTTCAATATATAAATTATTATTTTTGAAACCCCAGACCCCAAAAAGAAACAACTGAAATTATCTAAATAGTACTTCTAAACACTATCTTTTTTTTGTAAATATATCTTTCATTTCCCTTGTTTTTTTTTTATTCCACTACAAATTATTCATTAGGTGTATTGTTTTTTTTTTTTTGCAAATATATAGCAATCAATTTACTTTCTTGATTAATTGTGAAACAATCAAGTTTACTTTAATTTTTTGAAATCGAATGATTCTTTTTTTTTCTTAATAAAAAAAATATGAAACTTTTATTATGGTAAAGAAAGTCTGTATTAAATAACATTGTAAATAATGGTTGGAAAACTTTCTTGAGCTCAAATCTTTTAACGGTTTGTCAATATTAAATTAATATTTAATAGAATACTTATTTGTTTATTAACTTCATACCGTTATCTTTGATGTTACTAATACAGATATTTTAAAGATTTTCACAAATTTTCACAAATTTTCACAAATTTTTATCTTTTGACCAATTTGACATAAGAGTCTTTTTTTTTCATATAATTGTCAATTCCAAAAAGATTTTCTTGGATATTTTTTTAATTATTTTTTTTCAAAAAAAGATTTGCTAGGTATTCAATTGTTTTCGGAGATAATATGTATACATATATACAATCCACTTTTTATTATTATTGACACATTTTGTTTTTTTTTTATTTTTTTTTTTCATTGATTCCTGTCAAGACCTGTCAATTCATATTAATATTTTTGGCACATTTCATCATTAAGTTTTCTGGTGGCAGTTCCATCTTTTTATTTTTTCTTCTTACGTTCCTCTTGTTTTTCGCTCAGTTTTTTGGATTCACTTTGTTCTTTTTTGTTTTTTTTGGGAGGTTAACTTCATTATTATTATTGTTTTTGGTTTCATACAGCCTTCATATACCAAATGCAGAAAAAGAAATATGCTACTTATTTTCCTTAAAAATCAACATTGGTTAGTGGCAAATTCCCAAATGTAAGAAAGAAAGGGGAAAAAAAATAAAAATACAAATAAAAATCAAAAATAAAGAAAATTGCAGAGACAAATTAGACCTTGTCTGGATTGTCTAGAAACTTGGACTTTATATATTTATATATATATATATATATTTCAATATTTTTATTTATTTATTACTTGAAATAATTAAATTATTATAATTTAGTTATTATAATACCCAACTACAATCATATTCTAATTAAAAAAAAATCTTTGAGGTCAACTGAAAAAAAAAAAAAAATACATACTCCCATCCCCTTTCCCCTTCAAGTGTCTATCTATTGTTGATTACAATTATGCCACGTTTAAAAGCGGTATTTACTCCAAAGAAAAACAGAGTGCCAATATACACTGGAGGTACACTAAAGTCGAATGCATTGAGTTTCTTTCAGTTAAACTAGTATGTATATATATATATATATAATTATACATTTATTTTTTTTTTTCAAAAGTCGTATTTGCTTAAGCGGAGAAATTATACTAAGAATCTTTGGGTTATTGTCGTAAAAAAAAAAAAAAAAAAAAAACCAACAAAACACTTAACGCTAAGCACTGCTTTCTCGCCTAAAAATTTAGTCTGATAAGGATATTTGCTTAATGCTTAATGAAGCAAATATCCTAAAATGATATATTTATATTAATTGGTATCATTTTCTGTTGGTCTTTTTTGTTTATTTTTTTTTTGTCTGTTGTTGTGCCCATGGATATGTCATTCTACCCCATTTTTACGCCAACAATTTCCCTTTCCAAGTTAAATCAAGTAATAAACTGTAGAACAAAAAAAAAAAAGTCTCAAAGAAGACTTCTTTTTTTTTTTTTTTTCCTCCTTTGTTTCTTTAAATCTGTACAGATTGAAAGAAAGAAAAAAAGAAAAAAACGCCCAATAATTACAACAAGAGTAATAATAATAATGACTTCATTGGAAAACTAAACTTGAATGGTCATCCCTAGATAATACACAATGCATCATCATATACATCACTTTAATAATGTGTCTCATAAATTGTTGTTTCTGTTACCAACACTTTTTTTTTATTTTATTTTTTTATTTTTTTATTTTTTTATTTTATTCCTTCACTTTCTTTCTTAAATTTCTTACCTAACTGGGATGTTGACGTTTCTAAATGTCAAAAAAAAAAAAAATTATTTATTTATTTATTATTATGATTGATAATCTATTTTTGGAAGTTGTTGTGGATTTAGTATCACGATTGGGACCTGTCAAATGTCACTTTTTTTTTTTTGGTGGCGCTTTGAGTACCAATATGTCAAACCTGTCAACCCTTTTTTTTTTTTTTTGACAGGTATGGGGTCTAGAGTTTTTTTTTTTTTTTTTTCATTGTAAATACTGGAGATTTTGATTTTAATAAAATCTTCATTCACAACCTAATTCTTGTCTAAATGCTGTAAAATATCTAAATATAAATAAATAGATAGACTGATATGCATCCATACTGATTACAATTGATGATTGCCAATGAATCTAGAATGAAATTCTACCGAAATTGGTCCAAACAGAAGTCAGTACTAATAATTATACTACATGTCAAAAAAAAAAAAATTAGTTCTTTTATCACTTTTTCAGGTCTTTGTTTGTATTGTTTTTATGAATTACTTTAAAGTACACTTGTGTTTCAATCATATATATCCATTTTCCTTTTTCTTTGATTTTAAAAAAAAAAAATTCCATACAATTATATGCGAGTTTTGGACGTCAACAATTTGTATACATTGTAGACACTTTTCAAATAAAAATATGTCAAATAACTATCTATTAACTTACATTTAGAATAAAATAATTATTTTATCTTTTGTTCATCCATAATTAAACTTGAAGTTTAACCGAGCCTAACAAGGTCTTTTTTGATTCATTCAAAGGTGACTTTTTTTTTTATTTTAATATATATATATATTTTTTTATAATATTATATTATATATCATCTAATAATTTATTTTCATAATTCGATCTAAAAGACTTTTTTTTTTATAATCCATTCAACCGGTTGTCAATTTTCAATGATAATAAAAAAACCGCATTTTTTTTTTGGTCTTTTTCTACAAGAAGGTATTCTCAAAAATTTGGCTTGTATGAGACTGGTATCCCCATAAATACAAGACTTCATTTCATCTATATATGGTAATTTAAAACCCCTTCCGTTAAAAAAAAAAGAAAAAGACTAAAGTAAATATGAAATTTGAGTCTATGAAAAACTCTTAAACAAAAAAAAAAGGTCTTAATTTTATTTTAAATAAAAAAGAAATATAAAATAAAATAAAAATAATCTCAATCTATCTTTTGTTCATTTGATGCAATCAACTATCACAAAGTGTTGACTTTAAATGTGATAGCAATATTAAGATATTTAACTTGCTGAGATACACAAAGCTTGAATGATTGAGACAATTATCATTTATTGTATATATTTATTTATAATACTTTACTATAAACTTGTCTATCTAATTCTAAGAATCCAAGTCTGATGATTAGTTCAATATAGATTTATTTGGGAGAATTCTAATCCACATCTAAACAGTCTTAGATTCCGGTGAAACTCCTACTCATGCACCAGAAACAATTGTATTTATTCAGTTTTATTCAAAAGGGAATAGCTTAATGATTTTTTTTTGACAGTTTCTTCAGTTTTTCTTAGTGAACTAAATGTCAAATCTTTCCCATTAGTATCCACTCTACTACATTTGGTCCGCTTTTATTTAAACTGACAGCATGCACTAAATCGTTTAACCAAAAAAAAAAAAAAAAAAAAAAATATTTTTGGTAGAGTTACATTTTAATGCCGCGGATCCACATCGAAGAGAAGAAAAAACTTTTGACGGCTTTTTTTTCTTTCTTTATGTCAAAATCTGATACTTAATAATATTTTTTTTGTCTTTATATATATTCTCCCCCTGACTATTGGTCGATACTAATTTTTGGTTGTTGTTGGGGGGGTTGTTTTGTTCAATTTTGTGATACACCTGTCAAACTTGATTTTAACGCTAGTCCCGATAACGTAACTCACTGTAACATTTGCCTGACGTTTGTGCTTTTTTTTTTTTTTTTTTTTTTCCCAAAAGTTACCGCCATAGTTCATAATAAGTTACTATTGCTGCTACTATTACTACTGTTAATACTACTGCTAATACTGATTTTTAAATGTATATATATAATAATAATATTTATACACACAAAACGGGATCTTTTGCATATTTGACCTTCGGGAATGGCTTTTTGTTTTACCCTTCTCTTAATAACTTACATCGGTACCATATAAGTGCTGTCAAAATTGCCTCCCTTTTTGTTACATTCCAGTAATAATACTGGTACCAAAGGGGTCGTGAATCGAAAATTGACGTTTTAAATTTTATCCTGTTTATGGGTGGTCGTTTTTTTATTTTTTTTTTTTATGCTCAATAAAATATTAAATTCAACTTTAGATTATTATTATTATTATTATATTTTTTTTTCTGTTTCTTTTTACACTTACAGTCCCTTCCCATTTTACCGCTATTTACGCATTCAGCTTGTCTCTCAAACCAGTCAAGAACTGGTAATATGTTAAGCTCTGATCTGTCTTATCCTCCACAAAGAATGTAGAAGCCCAATGTCTAAGAGATGGCTCACCCTCCTCGCGCACAATGAAAAGCGATGGCCACGTGATGTTGTCCTTCTTCTCACGAATTTTGCTAATGATGGCACGGATACGCAGATTAAGCGGCGTGTCCGTCTCAGGAATCTCCGCCTTACCTGTGGGCAGCTTGTCTTTGCTGTCAAGGCCAAAGGCATCGAGAATAAGCTGGGGAACAGCGTCACGGCCAATCCACAAAAACATGGTTTGACCATCGTGGATAAGATAAAGACCGTGAGAGGCAATTCTCTCGCCAGTCAGATTGACCTTTTGAGGCAAAACAATTTCCCCAGTCTCCTCATTAGGAAGTCCTGCCTCATCAGACATGTCATGAAGACTGTAGAGATCAGGATAAAGATACTTAATCAGGTATGGGACTGGCAAGGTCTCAAGCAAGCAAATGGCCGAAGATCTCAAGTCTGAAGCAATTTGAGCAGATTGGCGGAAAGCAACGTGCTTAATGATGGCATTAACCAAAAGTGGAAGCATGCGCATATTAGCACAAAACTGAATGGGTGCCGAGCCGCCAACATTGGTCGTCATAAGCTCCTTCTTATACGTCTGGAGAATCTCAAGCAGACGGTTATAGACAAGCTCACGGGCCTCGGTAAGGCCAGTTGACAATGCCTTTTCACAAGCCTTTTGGGTGAGGTAAGCTGTGATAGCGAGCTGGTCAGCAGAAGCGTAAATGTCAGGAAGCAAGTCACTTGTAGGGACAGAAATTGTGATGACTCTGATGCGGCGTTCACTTTCGCAAGTGGAGTGAAGAACAGCAGCTTGGAAGGAAATCCAAGGCTGGACAATATTGTCCTCAATGGCAACCTCAATGACGTAGCTTTGGTCACGGGGGAAAGAGGGAAATGAGCAAAGATCAGAAGATCTGTTGAAAAAGTGGCCGTAAAATCCACTCATTCTCACGTTGCGGTTACCACGAACACGGAGAACAGCCTCGTAAGCAAGCTCTTGAGACAGATGCTCACCAAGCTCATGAGCCAACTTAACAACGTCCTCGGGTCTGGAGGCATTCCATCCGGGGTAAAAGTAAGTCTGACCAGCAGTAAATCTAGGGAGATTGGATAATGATGCAACGTCTTGGTAGTGCGAAGAAAAGAGGAACATGTCGACCGAGACCTGTGATCTGTTGAACTCAATGGCGCGATCCTTGTAAAAGGACGAGGCTGTCTTCAAAAGAGCATTTTCCTTGGAAGTTCCAAGACTCTTTCGGTCTTCGCGGGCTTCAAGCTTGCCAAGGCCAACATTGGGTAAACTGGAGGAAAGGCAAATAATCTTACCACCAATTGGAGCAATGAGCTTGTGAGCCACGTCGAGAGCTGAACCAAGAGCATTGTTGGTATTGACATTGTTGACGAAAAGAACGCCAAGCTTGTCAAGAAGAGCGTCAATCTGCTTTCTATTCTCAGTAAGATCAACAAGAAGGCCGGTGGGGAGAGGCAAAAATGGATCATCGAGATCAGAGACAGCGAGCATGGACGGGATGTAATCCGAGTCCTCAGCAACAGTACCATCCTCGTTGCGGTCAGCTTCAAGATTAAAAAAGTACAAGGAAGAATCAACACCAATGAAGGCGACCTTGCATCTATCGTCCTTATTAGGAAGGCGGTCGAGGTTCTCCTTAATGACACGCGCGACAGTGGCCAAGAGACCATTTTGGATAGAGTGGGCGCTGACATCGAGAACAAATACGTAAACTGGGGGTTGGGGAGGTCTAACCATGTATCCAGAAGGGGCGATGAAATCCACCACACCATAATTAAGGTCCGGTCTGGCCCACAAGTCTCTCTTGACATTGTTTACCGTGTCATAAGTGAATTTTGCTGGAACATCGTTGGTCATGCCACAGAGATTGCACTTCCAGCGGTGGCCCTGGTTGACAAAAGTGACAAAAGGGTTAATGTAGGCACGGCACGCTCTGCAACGGCAAATGTCGGTATCACTAATGACTGGGATATTCTCCGAGGAGTTAAGGAGGGCATTGTATGGTCTAATGATAAGAGCAAGGGGTAGCTTGGACTTTTTGAGAAGAGAGCGATTTTTGGGAATCACATTAAGAGTGCAGCGCATGTATTCATGGTTAGCATTTGCCTCTGAGCTCTGAGTTAATTGGGCATTGGGAGGGAGGATGATCGGTGGTGGGGGGAGAGAAAGATCCGAAATAGGGGGAGGAAGGTAGGATAGGAGATCCAGATTGTAAAGCTTGTTAAGCGGAAGTTTCGGCACAGCATTGGGATCGACAGGAGCACCAGCAGAAGCACCATAACTAGAGATATTAGAAGTATCAGCAATGCCACCGCCGCTACCGGCGCCTAGAGGGCCATAGCCGGCACCGTAAGCCGGGCCACCGGGGCCATAAGTTTGATTAGCAGCACCATATGGGGAAGCAGCAGCTTGAGGAGCAGCACCAAAGGGAGCAGCGCCATTACTGAAACCCATTCCACCAAACTGGTTAGCAAGAGCATCTACAGGGGCCTGTGTGTTGGGAAAAGAGCCTTGGGAGCCTGGCTGGTTGGCAATTGCTGGGGTGAAAACTGCGTTGGAACCTGCTGCTGCTGCTGCTGCAACACCGGGAGCAGCGGGATTAGCCTGGGGCGATGGGCCGCCACCATAACCAGGAGCACCAAGATAAGAGTTGGGAGCAGGTGACTGGGCGTTAAAATTGTACTGCTGAGTAGGATATTGCCTTCGCTTTGAGTGGTGAGCAGCAGCGTGTGCATCAGGTTGCTGTTGTTGCTGGTCCTGCAGCTGTTGCTGGTCCTGGCCGTCTTGAGGGTAGCCGTACTGGGACATTATAGGATTGCGGCGATTCTAAAAAAAAAAAAAAAGGAGGGTTTAAATGAGTGGGATGTCGTCGCTTGTGATGGAAGATATTGTAAATGGAGGAGGTCCTTAGATAAGGATAGGAGGTAAAGAGTTGTTGTTGTGGTGGTGGTAAAAAAAACAATTGGTGAGTTGGCGATTTGGCGATTTGGTTTTGGAGGGTTTTTTCCTGTAGAGGCCACCTGGACTTCTTTAGGGGGGGTATGGTTGAGAGAAAAGTTGTAACTGAAAAATTATGTTACATAAGTAAAATGTACCAAGTATGTAATGTCATTTACTGTTCAGCCGTAGAATCAGATGTACTTAGTATTGCAGTAGATTTCATACTGAATTATTGTGGAGATCTCTGCTGAGCCCCGTGTGGGTTTTTTTAATATTTAAAGACAACCGGACTTATTTTTAAATTCTCTCATTTCTGCCACGAGCTTAATTTTCTCTTCAACTATTTAAAACCTCTTTTTTTTTTTTTTTTTTTTTTTTTTTTACTAATATCACTATTGAAGCTTCAATGATGTTTGATAAATTTCATCACCAAAGCGGTAGTAATCCTACCTCTCCGCCTTCGGGATACTCAAATCAAGACTCATTATCTTCTACGTCATCGTCGTCATCGTTTGCTCCTCGAGTCTTCAATGTCAATAATAACGACATTGTTCATGCACGTCTAGTCATCCTCGATGGTACTGCCGGTCCCCAGCAGGGTGGTGCTAATTCATCGGTTGTTGTTTACCATCACGTCAACTCGTTTCCTTCACAGCGGTTTCAAGTAACAGATGGATATTTTAAGGCGTTTGTGCATTTAAATCCAGGCGTCAATAATCTTCGCATCGTTTGGAGCAATGGTGATGATGATGAACAGTCGCCTAGTTCGCAGCTGACTCTAAACTACGTGCCTCTTTTGCAAAACCCTCCCTTGCATTATGCCTTGATTGTGGCTAAAGACAGCCCCTTTCTTTTTGACTCACCCACTTATAAAAAAGAGCAAGAAGGAGGTAATGGGCTTGACCTGGCTATCAAAAAGGTCCGTCTGGCTAGTTATATGATGGCTGCGTATACTGGTGAGCAAATGCGCCGAGCTGGGTTTGGTCATCGTACATTTAGACCTCACGAAGAGTACGATAAAGACACACTTTCTGACCGAGACCGAAGTCTGCGATCAACAACCAAAGTGCATGTCATTCAAAGTAACTTGACAGTTGATGAGATTCGCGACCCGAATCGTGCCCAGCAGAATTCCCAAGGTACAGACAGGGGAGCGCTTTTTGGAATTGCATTGGATGCTATCCGCAACTCTGGGAATGACTTGTTTGCTGACAAGGGCGAAAATGTGATGGTTGCTGCCATCATTTTGGATGGCCATTGGGACGTGCAGCGAAAGCTTATTGTGGGGCATGCGGCTTTGGGTGGTAGTTCAGGCCACATCCGCTTGGGAATTTTTGGGTCGCATGCATTGTGGTCATTCCCAACGAGCATTGAGCAAATCACCCCGTGCTATTTGGATGAAACACGCGTGGACACAAACCAAATTGCTAAAGATTGTAGTGGTGAAGGCACTGCGTGGGAAGTTTACAATGTCGGGTTTGGTGCGTGGCTGCACGAAATTGGGCACTTGCTTGGATGTCCACACCAGCCTTATGGAATTATGTTGCGCGACTGGTACATTAATCGATCATTTATGTCACGCGAAGGATATGCATCTGGTCCAAAGACTAATGGTAAGCGACCTATTCGTGCCAAGGATGAGAGTGTGTGGCATCCTTTAGATTTGCTTCGGTTTAGATTCCATCCGGCGTTTAGATCACCCTTTGAGAACCGGGTGGAGGGCTCTAAGATTGGATTTTTCCCATTGGAGAATGGCGTTTTGGTGCGCACCATGACGGGTATTTACCTTGTGGAAATTTACGTTGATGACAAACTTCAAGGTTGGCTTAAATTTTTGAGTCCTCAGCAGGAAACGTTTTTGTTTGAAGATGACCTGCTGGGCCAAGTTCAAGACCTCGGGGCCCGTGATCCTAATAAAAAGCTCACCATTAACGTGCTTGGTCTTGGAGAGTCACAAGAGACTGTGCAGGATTTCCGAGAGCTTGCTCGTAGTGATCAGATCCACGACACTTTTTTCCGCAACCGCGGAGTGGTTACTGGGTTCCGGTCGCTGCCCATTGGTAGTGCCAGTGGTCAGTTACAAACCGCTATTTTCCCGCCCGACATTCGCGGTGTTAATGTGCGCTGCGGTGCTTGGATTGATGCAATTGAGTTTATTCCTTGCAATGATAATGGCGACCCTGCCAATGGTCCTCAGCGGCCTCGCGTTGGTGGAACTGGAGGCGGAGCAAACCAGTTTTTGTTCCAAGAAGGTGAATATCTCGTGGGCTTTTTCATTCGTGCCGGAGCATGGCTTGACGCGGTGCAAATCATTACCAATATCCGACGCAGTCCGATCTATGGAAACTCTCAGGGCGGTGGGCCATTTGAGCTGTATCCTCCACCTGGATATGAGCTTGTTGGCATCAAGGCCCATGTTGAAAGCTGGCTCAAGTCATTTTCCGTGGTTTATATTTCGAAAGATTAGGGTTATTTACAAAGAATATGTAGTTTTTTTTTTTTTTTTTTTTTTTTTTTTAAAGGACGCTGCGAGCATGCTGGACCTTACGTGTGACAGCATTTGCACTGGTGGCCCTCTTTTGCTTGATAAGAGAAATCAACATGAATGTTGTAAAGACAGAAAGACCGTACCAAGTAAGAATATACTGGAAATGAGTGTTTCTGAGCTCAACTTTGCCTGTGACGCCAATGGGGACGCCGTAGCGGGCCATTTGTTCTACAGATATGTTGCCATCAGCATTAAGTTGCTGGACATCGTGTTGGATGGCAGCACGTGCTGGGAGCGAGGGATCAAGAAGTTCTTCAAAAAGAATAGGTTGAGCGCCTGTTTTATTTGCCATATCTTCGACATCAAGGTACGCGTAATGGGGAGAATCTGGTGGCGGTGGGGCCGGAGTGAACATGCCCTTTTCAGGTGACTTGCGGAGCAAACACTCAACCTCGACGGGGCCCTCAGGAAGAGACATGGGTCTGGTTGACCTATCGAGGAAACGTTTGGCAATCCAGCCGCGCTTAATGAGCAGAGTACTTTTGCCCTCACCGCGCTCGAGGGGGGTTAAGACAAAGTAGCCTTCCTGTTCGTCACGCATGCGGGGACCGACGTACATTTCCTGGTCATGGCGGAAGGTTCCCTGAACCAAAACGCGGCGGTAGTCAAATTCGTCAGAAGAAGCAATATCAGCGTTAATGTTTCCAGGAAGCGGCAGGGGAGGGAGAGTCAGGCGGTCTTCAGCCTGAGAGATGAGATCAGTTTTCCAGCGTAAACGTTTGACTTGCCATGTTCCAAGACCGAAGGAAACAATGGGCATGAGGACCAATAGTCCAAACATGCTTTTGGAAAACCAGGAGCTTGTATCTTGAGCCTTTTGTTTGACAGGCTTCCAGTCGACGTTAGAGGTTTTGACAGTACGGAACTGAAACGGGCGGCGGAGCACTCCTAGCGGGGCTCTGCGGCACCCAATTGGAAGTCTGATCATTGGTTGGTTGTGTGTTGAAAAATGTGATGTAAGAATGTTTTAGGGAAGGCTTTTTTCTAAACTTTTTTCTAAATATTTAAATTTTTTTATTATTTTTTTTTTGTCTGTGGATGGCGGTTTTGGGGAAAAAACGGGGTTTGTTGGGTTCCGTCGGCTCTTTTATATATGAGTTTAAAATAGCTATCATGAGGTTTTTTAATTTTTGTTACAAAAAAAAAAATATTAGAAATGAGTAATTTAAAAAAAAAAGGAAATCTCCCACTAAGGGGCTCGAACCCTTGACATTTCGGTTTACTTGGAACCGTTGATTACTTGTAAAAGCCGAACGCTCTACCGACTGAGCTAAGCGGGACTTGGGTTAGGTTTTCTTACTAATTGGTTAATTTGACGTCATTTAATAATTATAGAAGTTTTTAACATTAGCATTTTCACTATTTTAAGGTTTGTATTTAATACAAAGATTTGGTTTATAACATCAAGTTACTTGTATGTTAAACCCAGGGCATATTTTTAGGCTGTTAGAGATGCAATGTTAAAGCCAAATTAAAAGTTTATTGTAAAGACGAAAATATAATGAAAAAAAAGGAAGGCGTAGATGCTGATGTTATTTAACCATCAAATTAACATAAGCCTTTTTTTAGAGCTTAGTTATAAACTGTTGGAGATGTAAAAAGTTGAATTTAAGTTAAAAGGTTTTTATAAAAAAAGAGAGTTATAAAGTATGCCCAAAAAAAAAAAACGATAGCGATGATATTCTATACACTTTTATAACCCTTGAATAGAAATATACAAACCGTTTTTAGTGTACACAATTAATTAAAAATGTATATTACAAGCTTTATTAAACGAATGGAAGATTCAAATATTTTTAAAACAAGTTTCATTCGAACTGTGCTTTTCTACATTTATTGATCCTTTATAATTTTTTTTTTTTTTGATTGACTGACCACCTCCCGACTTTTCTATGATTGATTGATTACATTATTAGACTTTTTTTTAAAAAAAAACCCCTTCTTCATTTCATTGATTCATAATTATCCATTTCTTTTCATGTGACCAAGTGGGGTCTTTTTTCATTTTTTCATTTTTTTATTTTTTTATTTTTCCATCTTTCATTCTTGGTAATCATTTTTTTTTTGGTGTCCGCTTAAAGTTTGATTGTCTTTTTTCTCGGCACAGCTTGCCCTTTTTTTTTTGTTTGTTTGTTTCCATCAGCCGAGGTGGGCCATTTTCTTAATTCGTCATTGGCGTCCAACGGCTTTTTTGTTCTATGAACCATCAGAAGATAGAAGGATGCGTTATTGTTGTGGTTGTTGTTAGTTTGATAGGAAATGAATGAAAGGTTTTTATGCCTCAAACTTTTTTTTTTTGTTTTGTTTCTTGTGAATTCCACCCAACGGTTAGAAAATGGTTTCTGCAGATCACTAGATTACTAAGTCCTTCAATCGGTCAGTTGATCTTTCTTTGTTTAATAGAATGATTTAAGTGGCTCGAGAAGAAGAAGGTCTTCTGTAACGGCCTCGGAATATTCCCATTGTTTAAATCTAGAGTTTGGATAGACTAGTTTGAACATGGTAAGCTTACTTGATTACTTCGTTTGTATATAATTCATAGATTGATTGACTTTCGGATACACTCTATTCTCCGGAGCCCTTTTTTTTTTTTTTTTTTTTTTTTTTTTTTGCGTGGATTTTCAATTTGAATTTCAAAAGCATCCACCCATCTTCGTTGTCGAGTATTTTGACAAGTACATAGCAAACAACCTCGACTTTTGTACCATCAAAGGTTTGTCCCGGCGGTACCTTTTCATTAGAGTGCGCCGCAGTTACCATTTTGGGTGTCTGTGCTGGGCACGGAGTTTCCTAGTTGAGTCTGTTGTATCTACAGTACTACTACTGCTTGAACTACCGCTTTGTTTCTACTATATACAGGTGGTTCTGCTGCTAGTTTGTTACTACTACTGCTACTGTTACTACTACTATTGTTGGTTATATATACTATGACTGCAACTGGTTGTAATATTGAATGAAATGAACTTGCCCTGAGCGTTTAAATCACAAGAAGAAAAAAAAAAAAAGTTTCCTACAGCCGGGGCGCAGCTCCTAAAAAACACTTTTCTACCGGGCAGGCCTCGGTCCTAGTTTTCAACGCTGGTCGAAAGAGCTTTTTTTTTTTTTTTTGATCCGCCGCAACCTTTTTCTGCTTTAGGCTTAAAGAAAAAAAAAAAGTCAATTCTCAAGAGACATAAATATCCTTCTATTTCCTTTGGATTTTTAATTCCCGCTCTTTTCAATATTTTGACTATTCTATCCTAAATATCCTTTAATACCTTCTCTTTCCCATCTTCTTTTCTTTTTCATATAAATCTTTTCTGACTTGCCCTCAAATTCCTTTCTCTTCTGATATTCAACTTTTATTTTATAAAACTTTCCCCATTAAAACTATGGAATATCAAACCCCTGCAAAACCTCGCGCTCGCTACATATCCGTTCGTGATCCCGAGTGTACCTATGCAATCCAATGTCTTGTCGACGCCGTCCGTCTCTATCCTCGCCGAAACAGTAACCAGTTCTCTAAAGAATGTCTAGAGCTTGCAGCTGCACGCTGGCGCCAATGGCAGGAGGCCAACCACCGACCTGTAGACGCTAGTGTCCCGCTTATCCGATCCCACTATCACAATAAAATGAATGAGTTTGCAACTTGGCGCAAGCGGGCTCAGAACCCAGATAACAAGGTCGTTGGCGATCGGGTCTTTTTTAAAGACTCGCACGGCCGTTACCGTTCAGCAAAACGGCTTCCTGAAGAGCTCGAGATTCTCATCAATGAGCTCCACAAATCCCTCCCACGTCCAGGCTACAAGAAGAAAAAAATGACGCAGGAAGAAGCCCAACGGATCCAAGAAGAAACAAAGGAAAAAACATGGAGTCAACGCAGTTTGACTTTGCAATTCCCAACCTCAGCTACCGTTGTCGGTACTCGAGCTGAATCTCTTCCGTTTCAAAGCGTTCCGGCACATCCGGAGACCTTCTACTCGGCTCTCATGAGCGATGTAGCCCAGGCGGCTCCTAGCTCATCAACATCTTCTTCTTCATCATCCTCAACATCATCTTCTTTTAATAGCTCTTCACAAGAATCTATTGGATTCACACATGATGCAACAATCCACCCACTTTCTGCAAAAAGATACTTCCAACATTACGCAACAAACAATCAACAGCACCGTGACATGACTGCTCCCATGGTCATGCCAGTTACCTCGTCTCCGGCTTTTGGCTCGGTAACACACATCAACACAGCAGTAGCGGCCGCTGGCCCGGTCACTCCGCCATCGTCGTCTCCTCCCATGGGCTCGGCTAGTGTGTCGCCGGTTCCTGGGTACGATAGTACCGCACAATTACCACAGTCACAACCACCATATGGGTACTCTGCACCAACGTATTCAACTGTCACACCACCACCTCCTACTAGTTATAGCACACTTCCCGGTGTTTATGGCCATTTACCTAGTTATAGCCATCTTGCTGGGTATGCCCATGCTTCGGAACATGGGACTTATGCGGGATATGTTCCTAGCGCGTGATTACAACATCTGATGGATATTCCGAGGACTCAGGTGATGACTATTACCAAATTTGTAAAGAGAAGTTTATGACTATTATTGTTTATTATTATTATTATGGATATATGTATTATTATTACTACTAAATAGAGAATTATTAAGGGTTTTTTTTAATAGTCGGTTTTAGGGGGTCTTCAACGGTTCCGGCCGGAGCTTCGGCACCAAACAAATTTCGGACTCCGAAGATCCGACAAACCGTTTTTTATTTATTTTATTTTATTTTATTAATATTAATATTAATATTATTATGGAAATAAAATAAAAATAAACTCCATAACTAAAATTTCAGAGCCACCCCTAAAAAAATCAAAAAAATAAGATCTCAGGTCCCCACCATTCAAACACTTAATTTATTTATATTATAATACAACCTTCCAAATGTCTTCTCTCAAACGCTTCCAAAACCTTATTCGCTTTATTGGCTCTGATGGCCTTATCCACTACGGCGACGCCATTATCCCATCTTCTGCTTCTTCTGCCTCTGCTGCTACCGAAGCCTTTCTCGTTAAGGGTAATCCTTTCACTACCCCGCTCTGCGTCACCTCGACCCGCGCACAAATCCTTAAGCTCTTGAGCCCGATCGCGCCATCAGACGTCGGAACCCTCCGTTGTCTTGGACTAAACTACCGCCAGCATGCAAATGAACTTTCTCTCCCATTCCCAGAGTTCCCAGTTCTTTTTTTCAAACCTACAACCACACTTGCAGGCCCTACTGACCCCCTCATTGTTCCCCGCATTGCCCAACGACGCGATAAGTACTCCGAGCGTGAAGAAGGTGCCCCAGCAGAAGTTGATTACGAGGTCGAGCTCGTCATTGTAATTGGACCTAAGCCTGTGCGTGATGTTCCTGTTGAAAAGGCCCTTGATTATGTTCTTGGATATACTGTTGGAAACGATTACTCTCAACGCACTTGGCAGTCTGCCCGTGGTGGCGGCCAATGGTCTCTCGGTAAGATGTATGACGGTTGGGCCCCCATTGGGCCTGCCATTGTGGCTGCAGACATTGTTGGCGACCCACAAGCGCTCCATGTTTCCACCACTGTCAACGGTACTACCGTCCAAGATGGATCTACTGGCGATATGATCTTCTCCGTCGCACAAGCTGTATCATTCTTATCCCAGGGCTCTACTCTCATGCCTGGCGACCTTATCTTCACAGGAACACCCTCTGGCGTTGGTGCTGGCCGCACCCCTCGTCTCTGGCTCAAGCACGGTGACGAAGTGACCGTTTCTCTTTCCAAGGTTGGTTCCGTTACAAATACAATCATCTATGAGTCTGCTGAGTCAGGCACCCCCAAATTGTAAAACCACAAGAAAATATGTGTGTCTTTATTTCCCTTCCCCATATTTTAATATAATATTATTAAATATATATGCCTAATAACCAAATAAACAAGTACACTTGACCAAAATCAACCTATTTACTATCTACCTCGTAACCGGGATGAAAAGAACTTATGCCGCCGACCGCGATCTCGCCGTGCATATGCTCGCTCTGTTTCTTCTTCACTATCCTCATTGCCACCGCCATCGCCATAGCCAGTCCTGCTATCCCGCTCTTCATCACTATCCGGTTCGTTATCTCCGCGCCGACCAGTGACACCAAACCCGAATCCTTGACTGCTACTGCTGGATTCCCCTGAAGTCGATATCGACGGTCTCGACGACGACGATGCTGATGACGATGGTGCATCTGCCATTCCTCCCCTCGAGGTTCCGCCAAGGTACCCGTGCACATCATAAGTTAATGCCACAGGTACGTCGCGAAACGAAAATGTGTTAACCTCGTGCCGTGGTGGTGATGGTACAGCTGCCCCTCCCGACATACTGGCATTAATACTATCTCCACCTCGGCTCTCTTCTTCCTCGTCCTCGTCCATTACGATCCGCCGTCGACGCGTATCTCGGGCTTGACGACGAGAACCTGTAGAGGCCCGATCATGACGCATTTGAGTTCGGGCAGATGCAGACGCAGACGCAGACGCAGAAGCAGAAACAGCTGCTTGGTGCTGTTGCTGTTCTTGCTGCTGCTGACGCTGCCGCAAAATTTGTCTTGCTACTGAACTTTGTTGTGCAGGTTGTGGTACCGACTGAGGTTGAGGTTGAGGTTGAGGTTGTAATTGTTGCGGCTGTGTTGGTTCAGGGTGGTCAAGCGGGATTCGCGGAGGAACCGGTGGTCCCTGAACTCGCGGCTGTTCCTGAGCTACAGACATGAGTAACTGCCCCGAGTTTGATGCAGCCGCTCTAGTCAGCGGCAGAGTCACTGATGGCGTTGATAGCGGATGGCCAAGCGGGATAAGTGCTGAAGATGCTCCAAACGTCATGCCTGCCGAAGGTGCTGGTGGATTTGTAGCCATAATCATTTGCCCACTACTGGGCCCGCCAGGCCGTCGAGCAAGACCATGTGACAGTTGATGGGACTGAGACTGAGACTGAGACTGAGACTGTCGCGTTGACCGGTGAGAATGCTGTTGCTGCAAAGAATGATGCTGATGCTGATTCTGATTCTGTGCAGGTTGGCGTTGAGATTGATGATGCATTTCTCTTCTTGACGGTACGTTGTCATACTCAGGATAAGGCAACCGATTATTTTGCCATCGAATTGGAGCCGTCAGCACAGGCCGAGGAATCGGGCCGTGTCCTCCGGAATACCCACTTGCAAGGGCTTGTGTCACCGCTGCAGAGTAAGTAGGTGGGTAGTTTGTTGTTGAGTTTGGCGTTGCCATTGAAGCTTGTGATGCCACAGATGTCGGTTGCTGATGCTGATGCTGGTGCTGGTGCTGGTGCTGGTGCTGTTGCTGTTGCTGTTGCGGTTGATTTTGTAAGCCTGTGGTTAGACTCGACGTTGTTCCGGTACGTGAGACACGCCTCCCACGTTCTGCCTGCCGCTGCAATGCTGCATATCGGGCCACAGAAGCTGCAGAAGCTGCGGCTGCCGCAGAAACAGGTGCGGGAGACGAGTAAGGAGGTGGAGGGGTTTCCGGGACTGTAGGCGTAGACAATCTGTCTCTAAACATTTGCGTAGTTAATTCTCGGCGAGATTCGTTTGGCCTTCGTTGTTCCTCAACGGAGTCATCCTCTGATTCCTCATCTTCATTGTCATTGTCATTATCATTGTCATTGTCATTGTCGTTGTCATCGTTATCGTCGTTACCATCGTCATCGTCGTCATTATTATCTTCATCTTCTTCGTCAGATAAAAGAGGGACAGTGTGTCGGCGAGTCGCTCGTACCACCAAAACATCGTCGTCATCTCCATCATCAGAAACTCCACCCGGACCTTCTTCTGGTGATATATACTCATTGTCCGAAGGATACTCAGATGCATCGCTATAGTCCCGTCCAAGATCTTCATCCAAATCCTCCTCCTCGTCTATATCCTCCTCATCATCATCGCCCCTTAACCCAGAAATTCTATCTGCAAAGACCTGCCTGTATCGTTGATAAGTTCTGTTCCATTCGTCACTAGAATTACCATCGTTATCGTTATCCTCTGACGCACCTTCACCTTCAGAAAAATAGTCGTCTGGGACAATGAATACATCTAATTCTTCACCATCCTCACTGGGGTAATAATTTCTTGGGCCAAAGTTCTCAAAATTCCTGAGACCTTGGCGAAGACTATCATATTCCTCATCCTCGTCATCTTCGTCGTCATTATCATCGTCATTATCATCATCATTTTCTTCGTCAGTAGACCAAAGCCTGCGAAGCTGGCCTCCCTCCTGTACGTCTCTCCATGAAATTCTGCGTCGGCAATGACTGCAGGTATGCGAGACCAAACTCTCGGGCTCAAGCTCCCAAGTGCAGTAAGGGCATCGCGAAACTCTATCGTCTGCGTCGAACAGCGCTGCCAGCCGCGGGGCATCATTGAAAAGCTCTGGGAAGAGATTGCTGTGGTCGCGCATCACCTCAGCATATTCCGCGTCGGCCTTAGTCTTCATTTCTTGCACAGTAGGCGAGGACGAGACTTCTACAAGAATCGATACAAGCGAGCGCATCTAGAAGCTGTTAGAACAAAGACAGATGGAGAAATATTGAAACTTACATTATGGCTGATGGAGGGTCTTTGAGTTACCGGTTCTCGGCAGGTCGGACATTTTGTTTCTTCAGGATTTCTCTGGAACCATTCATTAAGACACTAATCATCTGTTAACAAAAAAATCCAAATTGATGGAATCATTTCCAAACTCACTGAATAGCAAAAGTCATGGCCGCAAGAGGTGATGCAGGGCGTAAACATGACATCCTGACAAATGGGGCAAATAACATTCTGGGAGAACTTGACCAGGTTTTCCACAATGTCTTCTTTGGTCTGGTTTCGTTAGTCAAAAGCTCAACAAGCTCCCAAAGCTTTCCAACACTTACTTTGCTTTGAAAGCTATCGCGCAGATGCAAATGATCTGTTAGTCGTACTTCCGCCATTTTGGGTGGTTTTGTTTAAAAAAAAAAAAAAAAAAGGTTTTCGTTGTTTAAAGAATAAAATAATTTTTTTTTATTTTTTATGACCCTTTTCCCTCTTCTTCTTTACCACCCTAAAAAAAAATGACCGATTCGCCACCACATCAACATCAACAACTGCCAATCCGCAGAATCCTAACAGCGAAGGATCTTGAGATATTTCAAGAATCTTCAACTCATGAACTCATCTTTGGCTTTATTTCAGAACTAAATACTGCCGCTACAGGCAAACCTAATGATACCGTTCTTGAATTGTCTCCTGTGATAGACGCTCTTCTCGGCCTGCTGGACATTGTCGAGGATCTCGTCAATAAGCACCCTCCAGCAGATGCAGTGTCTTCACGCTTTGGAAAGCCCGAATTTCGCGACTTTTACGATGATTTCAAGAGCCAAGCTCCGGCTCTTCTTGAAAAGCATATTCCAAACATTCCTGCAGATAAAATTCCAGAAATTTCTGCTTACTTATGCGAATCCTGGGGGAACCGCACTCGAATCGACTATGGAAGTGGCCACGAGCTCAACTTCATATCATTTCTACTGTGTCTCAAACAACTTAACGTCATTGAAATGACGGGCGATCTCCCTACATCTCTCGTTTTGCGCGTGTTTGTGCGGTACGTGGCGGTCATGCGCCGTATACAAACCGGCTACTGGCTAGAACCAGCAGGGTCCCACGGAGTGTGGGGTCTCGACGACTACCACTTTTTGCCCTTTCTTTTTGGATCCGCACAACTTGCCACCCACAAGCACCTGCGGCCGTCCTCCATCCACGATCGCGATCTTGTTGACATGTATGCTTCTAAGTACATGTACTTCGATGCGATCCATTTTATCAACTCAGTCAAAACAGTGGCGTCTCTACGCTGGCACTCCCCTATGCTTGATGATATCTCTGGTGTCAAGAAATGGAGCAAAGTCAACGAAGGCATGCTGAAAATGTACAAGGCTGAAGTTTTGGGTAAGCTGCCAATTATGCAGCACTACATGTTTGGGTCCATTATCAAAGCCCCAGATGGCGTGTCGCCACCCTCAGCTACAGGTGCTGAAGATGCCCCACACGTCCACAACCATTGGGCCGACTGCTGTGGCATTAAGGTGCCGAGCGCCATTGCTGCTAGTGCTATGGAAAAGAAGGAAGATCATTTCAGATCTGCAATGATTCCTTTTGATTAAATAACCTAAATAACTATTTACCATCCAAACCGTAATTGCGATGCAGAAAATACTGGAGGTTTCCACTTGAGTAACGAAGAATCTATTCGGTGCCTCTTCTTGGCCTTTTCTCGCTCATACTTGTCCACAAGTGCATCGGTCAAACATATAATATGCTGCCCTTTGTAATACTTGAGCATGTTGAGTGCTCCAAGTGTGTGTAGGATATCAGTTGTAGTCATGGCGGTGATCGAAGCAATGTCTTCAATTGTAGTTTCCGTTTTGCCAGCCTTACTATTTTCCACTAGCAGCTCAATAACGGTATCCGCCCAGTAGGCTCTGTATGACAAAAGACCTAAATCTGAAAGAGGCTTTTCTGGCGACCCGAATTTAGATTCGCGTTTCGAAAGGGCATATGAGAAATCAATAAGAATGCGGCCATAACCATGACGCTGGTACTGTGGAAGAGTCAAAATACACGCTACATTGTATCCTTCAGCAGACTCCTTTTCTTTTGAAAAATACCCCACAAGATGATGGCCCATGTCGTCGCGGCGAGTCATGCAGTAGAAAAGAAACGGATCAACGTCGTAGTACAAGGTTTTGTGGTCAAGGAAAAGCTTGGAAAGAAGACACAAATTGCGGCACCAAGTACGCTGCTTGCGGCCATCGATTTCGAAAAAGGAGACTCTTTCATCTCGGTAAATTTCATTTCCCGGCGGGTGTCTAAGCATGGTTTTCGAACGAAACCGCTCAAACTGTTTACGAGAAGCAAAATATGACAAGGTAAACTCGCAAATGTAAATAATATCAACCTCTGTAAGTTCAACTGGGTAAGGTGAAAAGTACCAAGGTTCCACTTCGTGCTCTCCCATAATAATACGTGAAATATTCTTGACACGAGAAACTTCGAGTGCGTTTTGAGTCATGGACCCAGACGTCCGCAGCTTCTCAATCTCCTGTCCACGGTCATAAGGCACCCCGCCAGCAGGATTACCATTAAGTGCATTGACTGCATCGTCCAAATCAATGGTTTCGTTATTATTATTGTTATTGTGTCTGGAATTAGTTTTTTTTTGCGGGCCAGAGGCCGCTGGAGACCCATGAGACCCTATTGCCTTTTTACCTTGTTTAGGCCATAAAACTGCCATGTTTAAATCAATCCTGGACTCGGGGACCCACTCATCAAGACGCTTGTTGAACTCGACGTAGTGGACATAAAAGGTCAGCATGCCGGAACGTTTAGGTTGACGCGCCAGAATTTCAGCTTGCCGTTTTTCGCCATCTTTGTCAACAAAGACTTTGGCACCAATAGGTAGTATTGCATGAGTTATTACTAATGAGGGATCAACAGAGGGAGTCGTCGATGATGGAGAAGACGACGGAGCCGTGGCGGATCCGGCGCTAGACGGTTGTGTTGGTGGCGGATCCATTGGTAACGCGAAAAAAAGTTATCGATGGGTGAGCTCTGAACAACAATAAAAAATTGAATGGTTAAGATTAGTTATGATTATGTCATTTATCAACCCTAACCCTAAAATAATAATAACCCCACAATTTAAAAATTAACACTCTCTGATCGTAACTTTTTTTTTTTTTTTACTAAACTACTAAATGTTGCGATTCTTTACAACTTAAACTAATTAACTACTATTTCCACCATGACTTAAGACTATCTCAAAAGAGCATTTCATGAAAATTTATTAATTGCAGTTGCTTCGGCTTTGCAGCAGCTACTATACGAAGGTGTGCTTGGTATCTTATAGCTAGCAACTACTATTGATAAAGCTTTAAATTCAATGTCTTTTTCAAGACTTCAACAATGTGCTTATGATCTCAGGTATGTTATACCTTTAATTTTCGAGTGGGGTTTGATCTAATACATTGATTATTGATAGATTCTTGATGCAAGCATCATGACCGACTATGGCAAAGATTTTAAATTGCAGCGACTTGGGTTTAATGATAGTTTTTTTTTTATTGACAATTTGAATTGATTTTTGAATCAATGAGAGTGGAATCGAAACAGTGATATCACTATTGTCAAATTTCGGCATATTCGATTGAAGTAACTTGGTTTTGTTACAGCCATTACAAGAAGGTCTATTCGATATTTTGTGCTGCTGTACATGCTATATACCACCAAAGTCCTCATACTTAGTTGGAAGTGTCTACTTATGCCGAATTGCTACAACATATTAATCGCCATCACAAGAAGGTGTATTTGGTATCTTGTATTTTTTTTTGTACAGCAGAAGATTAAGACCTCAATAACACCCTGCTTTTTCAACCAATTACATTTGTGGTATGTTTATTTTTTATTGAGATTTAGAAACTGTGCTAACTCTTTTTTTTTTCTAAATAAAAATAGCCATATTTTAGTGCGAGAGATGATGTCATTATTAGTTTCTAGTAAGCCCTCACAATGGGGTATATTGAACATTTTTATTTGTTTTTTTTGAAGTTGACATCCAACTGCAAAGACGTATTGCCTTTTTCTTGACAAGCTTAAGATGTAATCAACTGGAGGAACATTGACCTTTAGAAAATCACCACAGAAAGTTAAGCTTGGAATATTTTGGTCTGTTACTCCATTTAAAAGAAACCTCCCAAGACGTTACCTTTGGTTACATTGGCATAGGTTATTATATTGAAGCAAAGTTGCATTTGCAACTGCCCCCATGAAACGACGTATTTATCATTTGCCGGTTTGCTGTTGATGATTGATACCACCCAATTCGTCACTTCAGGCTAGAAATTTCCTGTTTAAACTCAATTTCAAAAACATTACTTTGATACTGACCCTTACTATAAGATGAGTTCAACATCTTTTGGGTTGTTACTGCAGTTGACAAAAACGTATCGTTATGTTGTCTTTTGATTTAGTTCATTATTGGTATGTTTTTTTTTTTTTTTTTTTTTTTTTTTTTTTGGTTTGAAAATATCATCCTGAGCTCTCTTTTTAACACCCAATTTTTCAATGTTATTAGTTTTGATGTTTATTATCAACTAAAGTAACATTATTATTGCTCCAGCCACCAGAGGAAATTTTATTATTAATCTGATGATATGTTACTATAGTTTATGAAGAGCTCCTAGAAATTAAATTTAGTTGAATGGTCTTATTTTTTCATCAATTCCAGAGACATTACTTTTTCTATAGCAAAAAGAAATGGTATAATCAACATTCTGTTTGTTTTTGCTGAAATATCGTTAATAAGTTAATCGTTATTTTGCTTTTTTGGTTTAGTCTAATTATGGTAAGTCAATTTTTTTTTAAATCCATTAAATCACACTGACTTTTTTTTAGATGAAAATTTTTAAAATGGGCGATAGGATTGTTCCTGCCAGTCAATTTCAATGTTAATGGCTTTACAAGATCAACTTAAATAAAAAAGACTCGGTCCTATGATTTATTGCTGCAGTTTTTTTACTACCATAATTTTTGCAACAGTTATCCCAAGATGATAAATCTGGATTGCATGTCGTTCCACCACTTAATTGAAGACTATTTTTTCATATTCTATGGAATTTTCAAAATTGAAATGTTATAATTATAAGTTTCAGATCATGGAGCGGACTTCAGTATCTCAAAAAACCAATATTAATCCTATTCGTAACTCATTCTTTTTGCTCAATGGCATTTTGAAGATTCATTTGAAGTATTAAAGATCTTATGCTGCCATCGCAATACACCATTTACAAGCCAACGACATTTTCAAAAAAACTTTCTGATGTATGCTTATTAGAAATCATAAAACCATTTTCTAAAGTTCGTCTTTCCATTGATTGATTTTGATAAGTCATTTTATCCTATTCACTGGTGCTTTAATGGGGATCGGATTGTGTCAGTCTCAGCGTTTTCGCCATATATCCTACACCTCATACATACCAATCACATTTAATGACCTTGTTGCAATATTAATCTTGATGCATTATTTGATGTCTTTTTTTCTTTAAATCGGGTTGCACCTTAGATCTATGTGAATTCGTTTATACTGAACCTTAGCACTTCAGAGCAAATTGTGGAAATTAAGAGACTTTCCATTGTCCCATACCATTAATCAACCAAACGCCGGTGTCTTTCAGATGACTTCTACAGCATCAAACATGATAGGCCTTCACACGGGTTAAATGGGAGTTTTGAGCATACAGAGTCATTTTTTATGCTAGCTGGTATTTTCGAAGCTTCTCAGACATTTCGAGAATTTGCTTTGGAACCAGATGCATCTCTTTCTGTGATGTTGGGCATCGGACCAACATTTTCTTGGAACTACTGTATTTTCAAACTTGCTGATTTTATTTAAATCTGATGAAAGTTCTTGGGAGATGTCTTAGTGTGTCGGGACGTTGAATAGCTTTTACCACACATTAACAACTGGCGACCAACATCTTGGTGGATCTACTGTACTATCATACTCCGCTGATATTTTCTCTAACGTGTATGTTATTTCAAGTATCGCAGAGTTTATTAATGTTATCTGCTAGTGGAAATTCGAAATATCTAATAGAATTGGAACTGAGACGTTGTTTCTGGACTTGATTCTTTTTTAAAATTTCCGAGCTTATTTGTGTTTGCTAAGATAAAACTTTTAAGCTTGCTAGAATCATAGCTGTTGATCTTTAACAATTCAATGCAATTTGCGGATTGCAGTGGGTGTTGTGTTGTCGTCATTAGAAGTTTTCTGTTAACATCCAATCAGATCTCATTTGTTATTTTTAAAACAAAATGATTGAGATGCAATGGGGTTTAGCAATTTTGAAAAAAAAAAACTTCTAGATCTGTTAGACATTTCCTTGTTTTTGCCACTTGTCAACTAGAAACTCAATAACTTCCCGAAGCTTTTTTTTGTAACTGGATCATTTCTTATTTTCTTTTCTCAATGCTCTACGTTACTTTTAAATCTGGTCAATTCATATTTATAGTAAATAATGCATTCAAACACGTAGAGTGCTACGTTATTATTATTGTCGGTATATACCAAAACTAGGCCATAAACTTCAACTATACCCTCTTATGATATTCTCAATTTGCAGTTTATTTTCACTTCAGAACAGATATTTTATTTTTCCCAATGTATATTTGTCTGTTTCTTAGTTTTGCAAATGCGTTATACCAATAATGAACCAGCAATATTCAAATTGCCCAGTCATGCTGCCTCATATTTACAGTTTATTTCGAAAGGCTACATGACATTATTTCGGACTTTTAAGGATTTTTTTTTTAGTTTCTAATCTTTTGAAAGGATATTTATGATTTGTGGTTGGTTGCTACATTGTTATTATAATGAAAAAAGGAAAAGTTCATAATCTCTCAACCACCATTTTGAGCTATCAGTTATGGCCATACCGATTACCAAGACCACTAGGTAGTTTTTAAATTCTTTGGGCTCATGTTTGTTGATTTTCAACGCTTCTGACAGCCTAGATGCAGGCTGAGAGAATTCCTTACACCGTAATTCTCTTTAATGTCTTGATATGTTTTCAACTTGATGTCAATCATTTATCCTTTAGTATTACCACTTCTCGCTAAAAAGACTTTGTTGCTAACTTTCAAGAATTTTGGTAATGCAATAAATTGAAAGAGTCAACTCAAATCTCTGCTTGATTTTATGGAGTTCTGATTTAAGATACCCTGCTCTCAAGTTACTTGGATGAGTTAAATCGTTAAGCTTTCAATTCTACTAAGCTTGCGCAGTTGTTTCCAACATTAATCATTGGACTGAATGTCAGAGCGTGAACTCCTTAATGATGTTTGTTTTGTCATATACCAATAACAGTCACTGACTATCATGGATTTTCCTCTGTACTTTTAGATTTAGATGAGTTCCGTTCTGAAATATTGTGATACCTTTTCATCTGGTGACTTTATGCTCTCAACTTGCTGAGCCTATTATTGATGGTTCTATGTTGTTTTAAAGAAACTTAAAATTTGTTTAGTGTCTTTTTTAATATCATTGGTATCGTTATACCCTAATTAAGTGTTTGATTGGGAGAGTTGTTTTTTGTATTTTACAAGATGTACATGCTTTTTTACCCGTTTTTTCTGAAAGTTATAAGATTTTTTCATTTTTATTTGTAAATTAGCTAACATGCTTAAACCTTAGAAGGCCTTTTAGATTAAATAGTAATAAATATATTGATTTTAAACATTCATTTCGTTTAATTGTAACCCGGAGTACCCTTGATTAACAAGCACATTAATTTACTATCAAGTCACATGACTATTATTTGCGGTATTATATATTCCCATGTCTAAGTATATTTCAGTACGGATATCTTCTTACCAAGTCTGACATTGAAAACTCTGGCTATAGGCATTTCTATGAAATTCTAAGTAGACCATTGGTCTTGAATTTCAATTTCAAATCGATAAATACCAATTTGAAGTCATTTGGAGAAAAAAGGTGTTTTCAATTTCTGGCGAAAATGA